CTGGCCGCGACCCCTCCTCTTGCCCTTGACATCGGCCTGCTTGACAACAAAGACACCACGATCAATGGTGTTGATGACAACGTAACCAGATTCAAAGGTGTAGGCGGACCAGGTACCAGCGTCCCAGAGAGCGTCACCGCCGCCGGGCTTGACATCATCCGGAGGGTAGACATCGAAGTAGGCAATCTCCTTGACCTTGGAGCCGTCAGGGAACTTGGGGATGCTGGAGACGTCAAGGATACGGAGACCGGCCTGGTAGTTGGATTGGTAGTCAAGACCGTCGTAGACATATTGGTTGTGGTCGACAGAGCGGGTGGTGGTCTTGTAGTAGCCGGTGACGACGGGCTTCTCAAGGTTCTGGATGTCCCAAATGTAGGTCACAGCGAAACCATCTTTGGCGAGACTGTCAGCAGCAGTGCGGTTGGGGTCGATTTGGCCCTCGTCAAGCTCATCGTCCATGACGATGTGAGTTTGCCAGTAGGGGTCGAGAACCCAACCCTGATGGGTGTAGGAAGCTCCGACGTAGGGTGTGCGAGAGATGATGGCACCAGCGTTACCGAAACCCTTCTTGTTGGTGACGTCGTAGATGGTCAGGGTGTCCTCGTTGTAACCGTAGCAGATGTCACGGCCGTAGTACTTCTTGTGAGGTCCACGGTAGACAATGCATTGAGCGTCATGAGTGTAGCCGTCCTGGCCGTTGCAACCCTCAACGTAAGGCTTGGTGGGGTCGTCCATGTTGATGAACATGGGTCCACCAGCACAGGTGTCGTTACGACCGGCACGACCGCCAGCACCGCAGGCAACGGCATAGTTCTTCTCTTCGTTGGCGACGACAGTGTGGGTGCGGCCCTTGATACCCTGGTTGATGTCGACAAGGGCAGTGTCCTTCTTGATGTCGAAAGTGTAAGGCTTCTTGGGAGAGAGCTTGAGCAGCTTCTTCAGGTCAAAGACCTGAACGTGGTGACCAACACCCTCGGAACCAACAATGAGGCTGTCACGAACGACCTTGATCTCACGCCAGATAACGGAGTCGTTGTTGGCGGGAAGGCGTCCAAGGTACTCCAACTGACCGTCCTTGGTGACTTCGGAGAAAGAAGCACCGTAAGTCTGACCGATGGCGATCTAATTGGAATTAGTTTTGGTTCGCTCTTATCCAGAGGATAATTCGGTATAACAGGGATTACTTACGAAGTCACGGCCCTTGTGCGACCAACCCCACGAGCCACTTCCATCGCCAATGGCATCACCGAGCTCCTCGTGCGTCTTGAAGTCGTACAGATCGATGTTCTTGCACTGTGCTAGTGTTAATTGGGAATGGTTTTGGTGGAATGATCTTTCTTACCTTGTAGGTTTGGTCGGCATCTCCCTTGACAGCCTCAACACGGCCGTCCTTGCACTCAATCTTGTTCTTGTTGGAGCGCTTGTGGGAGAAGCCATTCCAGCGCTTGCTGTCGTAGTTGCCAGCAGCGCGTTGCTTAGCCCATGCCATCTCCTTGCCGGACATCATGAGGTCCATGACCTCTCCAGAGGCATATTGCTGGTGGGTAAAGCCATGAGCGGCGACCAAAGGCAGCAAAGCCGCGGTGATAGTAGCCCACTTCATCTTTGCGAACAAGACTGCGGATTGACGGTTGGCAGTTGATGATGATCCGAGATCCTGGGAGCAGGTTACAACAATTTATATATCCCCCCCTCTCTGCACCACCCTCTCGGAAGCACCGACCTGCCATGATGCCGTCGCGTGCAGGACGCGGTAGATGACTATCATGAGCAGACCTTCCTATCGCAGGTACTCCGAAAAGTTAGTATAAGCGACCAAGGCCGTATAGAAGCAACGACAGCGGCCGTTGTATGCAGCAAGGTCCTGGGCGAACCTTGGTGAAGTCTTGGGCGCGATTTTTGCAGGCAATCGTTCATGTACGCCGAGAATAGTGTGATGCTTGGCAAGCATTCCGCCTTGGATTCGAGCATGGGAGCATGGAACTACGACTGGTGTACCCCAGTATACTGCAGGGCATGCTGGTCGAGGCCATGGCGGGGCTACACAGACGCAGTGCAACCTAGGGTGGGATCTTCTTGAGCGGAGATGGGGATTGGTAGATAGCGTAGCCCAAAGAGGAAGCTGCTTTGCTTGCCAAGAATGACTGGACCCCATGCGCGCCACGACCAAATAACCGTGAGGAGCTTTGAACCTGACTATTGATTCTAGAGAAGGTGGTGAACTGGATGGTGTAAGCCGACGATAGACTTTAGCCGGATCGATGCTGTGCGTGGATACACGAGGACATTCCAGGCAAACTTCCGTCAAGAGGATGCTGCGTGTCAGATGTCGCCATTCCGGTGCTCAAGAGTGTGCTTGAATCCGACTAAAGATGGAAAACCTCGCTCTTCCGGTCTATGCGGTAGGCAACGGAATGCAAAAGAACGGAAGTGAAGTTGAACCGAAGCGCGCCTATCGGCAGACGTTCACCCAGGCACCAAGGTTCTTATCTCGACTAATACGAATTCCGGGAAACCAAAAAGGCGATCTCCACGGTTGGCCTTGGCATGTTACTCGTTGAGTCGAGCAGCATAGGTAGCGGAGATGAGGCGGAGTATGTGGTGGCGACTGGCAGAAGAAGGAAATCGATGTGGTCAGGAGAGCGGAAGGGACAGCCTCTTGTAGCATACTCCTTCAGTACCCACTGAGCATGATTGAGGTACACTTTGAGCACAATTGAGGGTATTCTAGAAGGCCTACATATTGACAGGGTCATTGGCGCAGCGCATGACGAGCTGCATGCTTCGCGTACTTCCAAGCTCTAGTAACTTGACAGGACCACGGTCATGGTACTGCCATGCCTTTGTGCCTAGGTGATGGACAGGTACCGCCAAGATCTAGCAAGACGGTCATCTGGGATATTCGAATCTTGGAAAAAGCTCAAGTAGATGAAATATTTGATGTTATCAGGCAGAAGAGGGTGAAGGATGCGACGCTGAAGGACCGAAAGGCAGAGCGGAAAGAAGGCGCGCGAGGCGCCTCGGCTGGACTTGCCATGCAGTCGCGACATCACGTCCCTTCTCACCACCCAAGTCCTGGTGCCACGCTCCCAGCCCCAGCTTCGGCCAATCACCACGACCATGCAGCTCACCGAAGACGACCTCTATCGCAACTCCACGCAGTTTAGGAATTGGTCTTTCACCGCGCCACAACTAGCCGCCCAACGGCTGAAGATCAACGTTCAAGCCACCGAGCGCGTCAAAGCGAATGTTGCGCGTTTACGAGCCCAGCGCGGCAACGACGCCGTGGACAATGATACTGTTGGATCTGGCATAGACAAGGAGAACGGGAGCGGGACTAGCGGAACCAACACTCCAGATGGGCGAATGCAAAGCGTAACAGAAATAAACTGCCTCACCGCAGAGGAGGAACTGAAGATAGTAAACGAATTCTGCGAACGCGCAGTCGCCCTGGGGAACCATTACAGCTTCCCCTTGAACGTCGTCGTATGTCTAACTACACTTCTCTTGCTCTTTATACGCCTCCAGCACTTCATACTAGGAAATAGATGAGAGATGGTCACTAATGCATCACCAGTCAACATGTATCCAATTCCTCCGCCGCTTCTACCTCTACAACTCTCCCATGACCTACCACGTTAACAACATCCTCCGCACAATAATGTTTCTCGCCACCAAAGTCGAGCTCTTCCCCATCCACGTCTCGCAGTACGCTGAAGGCGCTGGCCGCAACGTGACCGCCGAAGACGTCCTCGCCCCCGAATACATCATCGTCCAGAGTCTCCGCTACAACCTCGACGTCCGGCATCCATTCCGCGCTATCAAGGCTGGCCACATGGAAATGCTGGAGATGGCGCATGGGAAATACCAGGGGCCGGCACAGGGACTAGGATCGAAGGAGGTCCAGGCTAAGATTTGTTCTGTTCCGGTAAAGGTTGGAGGTCCGGCGATGAAGATGCCCGAGAAGAAGGTTGAGGAGAGGATACATAATGCGTATGGTGTGGCGACTAACACCCTCCGCACTATTGCCGTGTTGACAGATGCGTACTTCCTGTACACGCCCTCTCAGATCTGGTTGTCCGCCCATCTCCTCGCTGATGAACCGCTCACGTTATTTTACCTATCGCTCAAAGTGCCAACATCTAATCCGGTTTACGACAAACTCCTGAGCACATTGCGGAAATGTGCGTCTCTTATTTCGAGCCACCGTCTTTACGTCAACAATACACTACCAGCGCCAGAGCGGGAAGCGAGGGACGCGAAGCATAAGGCAGAAGTCAAAACGCTAATGCAGAAGCTCAAGAATTGCCGCGATCCAGACAAGGCCGATCTCGTCAAGTTGAATCAGGCGCAGAAGAGGGATGCAGTCCAGGGTGATGCGCTAGAGGAGAGTAAGGCCAAGAGGAGAAAACTGGCGAGGGAAGGGTATGAGAAGGAGTCTGATGCTTTCTGGGGGCCTGAGCTCAAGAAGGCGGAGTAGTGCGATCGTGATGGTCAAAGATATGCATATGAGTTTGGCGTTCACTCGTATTAGGCGACATTGGGTGGCGTTATGGGTGTTCCTAAAGATACCAGTGTGCTCGTCAAGCGAGTAGCACAAGGAGTTTCAAGAGGGTATACAAAATCATTTCACATTGTTGCTAATTTGGCTATGCAAGATTCCAGATCAAAAGCCGTGGCGTGCTGCCTCCCGTTACCAATTACCCCGTCATGTTAATAAACCGACGTCTAACCAACTCTTTGCCTTTTGAAGGCCTTTGCATGCTCCCAATCATTAACCCGTCGCGTGTATAAACCGACGCCTACCCAATGTCTCACCAGTTTCGTGGATATTCGACCAAATCGATGCCACCAAATGCCCACACCGTAGCAAACGAACGAAATCTCGCCTGGGATTCTGCCCGGAGACTCCTCGTGTCGATCAACAATGCGTTCAACGTGATTCTTCAAAAACTTGTAAGGAATCCTCTCCCTCCGAGATGCACTTGTTCGGTTTAGCATCAGTTGCCACGCCCGTAAGGAGGTGTGTTGCCTGTCCTACCCTGTGCAACACCATTCCTCGGATCTCTTCGGCTGCCATTCGGAAACATTGGCGCCACCGGCGCGATGCTTGCTGGTTTCTTCGCTCCTAGGACAGAGTTGCCGAGATGGTTGCTGGGAGATTTGCCAGTATAATTGCCGAACATGCCGCCGTTGCTGGTACCCGGACGTCCAATCTTTCCAGAGGAATTGCTCATTTTGTTGGCTTTCTCCTGCGCTTCATCTTTCTTACGACCCTCAAGCAGAGCCTTCATCGACTCGAGGGCCTTGCGGTGCTTCCCCGGGACCTTGCTCATGTCGTTTTCGAAGGTAGTCAGGATGTGAGCCTCGCGCTCCTTATACTTCTTTTCGAGTTCGACGATGGTGTAGCTAGAGATGTCGCGCTGCTTCTTCTTCCCAGGTTGGGGCGTTGAAGCGGAGGTCGGGTTTGCGGTCGGGCCATCTTGTAGTTGTGGCGTTTGTTGATCGAGCTCTGAGGGGAAATCGGTCTGCTCTGCAGAATACGCCTTGGTGCTGGTCGCGTTCTGTGTAGTCTTAGGAATAGCTTTACCGACGGGCTGCTCTTCGTTGCGCTTTCTTTCAACGGAGGATGAGTACGCCCCACGACGAGATCCTGATCGTAATGTAATGAGGGGACGATCTTCAGCATCGTCGTCGTCAACGTGCTGCTCTCGAATCCTCTTCACATGATGAGCGTGCTCCTGGCCTCCAACATGGGTTTCTACCGTATGATGTGAGCCAGATCCACAAACTTTGCTGGGATCTTCGGTCGTGAGAGCCAGATCGGGATCCCCAGGAGGTACTTGGTCGTCTTCGTCATCGTGTCCGTCTGGGTCTTCCGTGCCGTCACTTTGTTCAGCAATGCCCTCTTGCACCTGCGCCGCTTTGTTAGCAGTGGTATCGCCAATTCGATTAGAGTTACCAACTCCTCCCTGTCCCAAGACAGGCACATGAGTTTCGAAGAGATTCCCATGATGATCAACGTCATCGTCTTCGCAGTCCTTGTAACGCTCCTGATCGCGCCTCCCGTTACGATCTTGGGTCCCATCCTCATCCGTACCGTCCCGAGAAGGTCCACCAAAGTCGTACCTGTATTTAGGCGGGGCTCGATCAACGCGCTGACCAAAAGACTCGTCGAAATCCTGGAGAACTCCTTCGAGATCGACGATCGCCTTGTGAAGATCCGGAAAGTCGCTACCGCAAGCCGTATAGATTGTGATCACGTTCCAGGACGCAATCATCAGGTTGTTAAAGTTTGGGAATGCCGTATCGACAATAGAGTTGAACAAATCTACTTTGACGTGGCTCGGAATTGTGTCGAAGGTCTTTCGCTTCGCATCTTCAGGGATTGTATCGAGACCAACGCATTTGCGCTTGTTGGAGACATGTTGAACGATCTCCTCATTTAGTGCTCGCTTGCGTGACTTCGTCACTACCATTTCGTCAGTGCTGTATTATCATAATGACTAAAACAATTACCACGAGTAAGAGTCCAATCCTGCTCAACCTTTGCTGGATCGAGCCTTGCGAGTGTCTGTACCGAGTCAGCAGGAAGTACTTGGTACATGCAACTCATGTTGGAACAGATGTCTGTATGAGATCTGGCAAAGCCCTTAACATGTCAACGAACATACCTCTCCTTCATGAAACAAAACTGGCGCCTGGTTAGGCATGTTGTAAGCGGCCCGTCTAGCCTCGTTGATCTTGTTCATCCTCGCAAAGATAGCCTGGAATTTTTCTTTGAACATTGGTACCATAGTCCTAGCAATGAAGCCATGAATAGGTTGGGAGTCGAGAACGTTTTCATCTTGTGGCAAAGGATCCTCAGTCTGCATCTGGATCTGGCCATTCTCTACTATCAGGTAAACGCGATATATCGAGTTGTGCTCTTCCGGTAGTTGAACGTTTCCAAGATCGAGATGTGTGGCTTCTTCTTTAAGTGTGACCAAGGCCAGCTCAGGCTTGATGATACCATGCACTTTGGTGTAACTAGGTGGCTCATCGTTACTGATACCCTCAAGGAACAAATCCAGGTGGTGCGGATCATGAAAGCGAAGTTGGTCGCGGAGAATGAGCGCGCGCTTCTGAGGCTTATTGAGCGAGATGAAGGTGGGTGCCTCGATCTCCATAGCGAATGCACTGTTGAGGTCGTGTATACTGGAAGCAGTCGTATTCTCTTGGGAGACACTGAGCGCAATTGCCCCGAAGGCTGCGACAGTGTGAGGTCGTCAATCCAGAATCCAACTTTAACTGGTTATTGTGGTGTGGGAGACAAGACATCCAATTGGGTTTAGTAAGCGGTTTTTATATCCCTGAGGAGACGAGCTAGTACCAGTTTCTCACTTTCGCGGACGGTACTGCTAGCCCTTCTACCCAGGTAAAGGCAGTGATACCGCGAATGCTTGGGGTTTTAGTACATTAGATCTCGGCTGAGATCTGCCTATGTGATGTGTCGCCAATGTGATGACGCTCCTTCCCAATACTGAAAGACCATAACTCAATCAGGACTGTGCGATGAGGAAGACAAGACTATACGACCAACCGAAACCTCTTGCTACCCAATTCGACAGAGCCATTCACAGAAGCCAAAGAAGATAGCGCAAAATGGCGAGAAAGATTGCGAAACGTATGCGGCGAGGTGACTTCCCTTGATCCAGATCGGATGACACAAGCAGTGCACGGTCACGACCGAGACCAGGAACATAGAAGGAAGCTGCTGCCTACTAGGCAACTTGGAAAGCCTTAGTACGACAGCGAGGAACTGTCAATGGTGTAGATGCGTCAAATAGCTAGGTCTGGGGTTGTTGTAGTTGCCAGTCAACGACAGCTCTAGCAAAAGAACAAAGTCTCATTGTCGACAGGCTCACGAAAACATCACAACAGAAAGAAAGATTTGACTGATTGTGAGTACTGTAAACCTGTCATGATCAGGTCGTTCATACGTGCAACTTCTACTGATCCACTTGCAAATAGCTCTTGAGTGTTGAAGATGATATCAGACCTCGCATGCTTCCTACGCTTACAAATACAAGCCCTCGGGTTCACCCTCAGTCTTCGTCTTAAGAACACGCTCCCTTGCGGTACGGAAGTCCTCCATGTTGACCCGCATACGACGCTCGCGAAGCGCCATGAGACCAGCCTCGGAGCAGATGGCCTTGATGTCAGCACCGGAAAGGTCGTCCTTCTGGTTGATGAACTCGTCGAGATCGACATCCTCGTTGAGTGACATCTTGGAAGTGTGGAGAGTGAAGATCTTCTTCTTGGTGGTTTCTGCATTGTGGTCAGCATCTGTAATTTTTGCAATATATTGTGAAACTCACGATCGGGGTTCTCGAAGAGAATCTTTCGGTCAATACGACCGGGACGGATAAGGGCAGGGTCGAGCGTCTCGATCTTGTTGGTGGCCATGATGACCTTGACGTCTCCACGATCATCGAAACCGTCCAGCTGGTTAAGCAACTCCAACATAGTTCGCTGAATCTCACGCTCACCACCAGATGTTGACTCGTAACGCTTGGTACCGATAGCGTCGATTTCGTCGATGAAGACAATGGAAGGCGCGTTCTCGGCGGCGGTCTGGAAGAGCTGTCGCACTAGCCTGGGTCCGTCTCCGAGGTACTTCTGAATCAACTCACTACCCACAATACGCAGGAAAGTTGCGCTGGTCTGGTTGGCGACGGCCTTTGCAAGAAGCGTCTTTCCGGTACCTGGCGCACCGTAGAGAATGACACCCTTCGGCGGCTTGATACCCATCTCCTCGTACAGCTCCGGATGTAGCAAAGGCAGCTCAACAGCCTCTCGCACCTCCTGAATCTGTTGCTCCAAACCACCAATATCCGCGTACGACTCTGTCGGTGCCTTGTCAAGTTTCATGACTGACACTATCGGATCGGCATCGTCTGTGAGCACACCGACTACTGAGACGGACTTGTGATGCAGTAGGATGCTCGCTCCGGGCTCTAGCAAATCCTTGTCAACGAAAGACATGATGGAGACGTAGTATTCGGGGCCGGTGGCGCTAGATACGATGGCGTGGTCGTCGTCGATGAGTTCCTCTAGGTTGCCGACACCCATGGGGCTGCCTCGCATGTCGTCGACGCGCGAGCGCTCATCAGCGTTTCGGTCTTCGCCGTCCCCTGCGTTGGCAGCAGCAGGCGCGTTGCCTTCCTTGACCGCCTTTGCCTTGCGGAGGCGCTCCTGGTTCTCGACGTACTCCTCCTCTAACAAGAGGTGATCGTGGATTCGCTGCATTCGGAGGTACCGTAGCTTGCATCGCGCAGTTGGGTAGACGGTCGGGAGCTTCGCGGCGGCACTGGGGCCAGCGGCCTTCTTCTTCTTCCTGCCGATGCGGGTTGTGGGTTGTGGTGGTGGCTCATACTTCGGCTTCTCCTTCTGCAGACGCCGTTGTTAGTGTCTGTGAGGTGCGGTGAGGCGACAGATAGCGGACTCCCGAGAACCATCATTCCGTGTGTTCTGGACAGCACATACCTTGTCCTTCTTGTTCTTATCATCTCCTGGAGGTCCGCCGCCTCCAGCACTCGATTGCTGGTTACCCTGTATGTCTTTAGCATGTTGCCGTGGTGGCTTCCGATGAGAGGCGATCTTACCATGACACGCGATCAGGTGAGGAAAGGCGAATCGGGCGCTCGACAGTATGAGAGGATTGGAGGAGAGATTACCACAGCGAGGGTGGTGGTAGAGGCGATGGGGGCAGTGAGGCGGTGGTTGTTTGTAAGAGGTGTTGATGCGCTGATTCCGAAGCTCGTGGATGTCGGAGGATCGGGGTTAGCGCCTTGTGGCGTCACTGCCTCGAACCGCTGGAAGCCTCACCATTCCACCCCCATAGAACATCAGACACGTCAGGCCCGGTCCGATAGCTATACACTTCTCACTGAGCAACTTATTCCACGGTAACTTCTCCTTCCCCCCAAAGCTTCTCCAAAACTCAAGTATATTTCACTCTCTGAGCTCTGACCCCGCCGGTGAGCCACTCCATAGCTCCCCACGCGGGCTGAGAGGTACTCTTTATCGCAACAGCTACCAAGACTAGAGTAAGTCTAACCCCATTACAGTCGCTGTTCAGGTGAAGCAAGAAGCCTTTTTTCCTCCTCAGACCCCCAAGACTCTGTATGACACATCCCCGCACCACAACTTAGTGGAGCCCGGATCACGTTGCGGAGCCTCAGGCTGACTTGTCTACCCAGAAGCAACTTGGTTGCGCCCTTCTGTTGCCTGATTTCAATACTTATACAACCGCTCCCCCTTCGATCTCAAGGTCTCAGTCATCATCCACCACAATGACATCCAACCGTAATCGGCGCATCGCCAAGGAGATTGCCGACATCCACAACGATCAGCACTCCAAGATCGTCGTCGAACCGGCAGGCAACGGGGAAGACCTAACACATCTACGCGGTCAGTTCTTCGGACCGCCTGACACACCATACGAGGGAGCTACCTACCATGTCGACATCCGGATCCCGAGCGAATACCCCTTCCGTCCACCGCTGATGAAGTTCGAGACCAAGATCTGGCACCCTAATGTCAGCTCACAGACGGTAAGGAACAAGCAAAGTTCTAAGGCACGCTTCAAGATAGCTAACAGTACTAGGGCGCCATCTGTCTCGACACACTCTCCTCGCAATGGTCGCCGGTTCTGACCATCAAGTCCGCTCTGATCTCGCTCCAATCTCTCCTCAGCACACCCGAACCGAAAGACCCACAAGACGCAGAAGTCGCTGGAATGCTCATCCGTAACCCAGCGGAGTTCGAACACAAGGCACGCGAGTGGGCAGTCACGTATGCTGGTGCGCCCAAGAAGGAGATTGCTGAGGGTAGTGGGGGTGCCACCGCTGCGTCCATCAAAAAGAAGGCCCAACAGGCGAAGCAGAACGAAGAGAAGTCAAAACTCGCCGCATACAAGGGCTACAACAAGGACCTGGTCGACCGCTTTGTTGCGATGGGCTTCGATGTCGAAGCTGTTGTTGCTTCGTTTGAGTACGTCGGTATCGATCGTATGGGCGGCGAGGACTACGAGCTAGAAGAGGCCTACATGGGAGACATCACTGCCCGGCTGTTTGGCGAAGCGTAGTAGCCTACTGACATGTTCTCATTCAATCAACCAGCACTTTGCTGACTAGGGTCTATTCTTAAAGTGGAAGCGGGACGAGGACCACGATTCTATGACGGAGCATAGGCGTTCCTCCTTGGCAAACTATTCAAATCTTTCGATTCATTGCAGACGGCGTAATGTCATGGGTTATCACAAGGGTGTGGTGTACATGAGATCATGGGAATAGTATAGTAAGGCGCTCTTCGTGAGTAGCCAAAGTAGTTTCAATTGAAGTTGTTACATTAAACCTCTAGTTCGTTGTGTCGTTTTGTGATATGTACAGTCATGTCTTCCTTTTGTATTTACAGATCTACTGCAGATGTTCATGTTGCGGTGCTTAAGCAATGGCGCGGGTGGCATCGAAAATGGCGTTACCCTTGTAGCTCCTGCCAGCGCCGCCAGGCTGCGCAGTTTGCGTAAGGGGAGCCTCGCCGAAGACGGTCATGGGGTTGGGCTTCTCGATGTTCTGCTGAACCTTGACAGCTGTTTTGTTGTTAGCATATTGTTCGGAAGAACACACATCCTGGTACTATAAATCCCGGACGCTCGGAGGAGAGGACACTTACTTGTGCCATCGTACTCGTAAGAGAAGGTGTTGGGCTCGCAGCTCTCTGTCTCCTTGGCCCCGTCGGCACCAGGGATGAACTCGTACTTGCAGACGGTGCGAATAACGTCGTCGCCAGCATAGGCGTCGGAAGCAAAATCAGCGAGGACGGTGCGCGACCTATAGCCGTTGGCGGCGCTGTTGCTCTCAATGGTGACGTTCCAGGCACCAAGGTCGGAAGCGGCATTGGCGGCGGTCGCGGCAGCAAGAGCGAAGAGAGCGGTGGTGAACTGCATGTTGATGATTGGTTGGGAGGGTTGTTGTTGGTGGTAGTTTTGGTTGGTATAAGATGAGATTGGTTCGATATTAATCTTCAAAAAGTGATGTCGACGACCTCTTATATAAACTCACTACTTCGTATCAAGACGTCAAGGGCGGTCTAAGAGACGTCACGTATACCCACCGCCTCCTGC